ATATGAAAAAGTTGTTCAGAATGCCAAAATACGGGGCTATGCAAAGAATCGCGGCGAATTTTAGCATTATGAACAACTTTTTCCTATAACTTTTTGTTGTCATTTAAACGAAACCTTCTTTTTTTCTATTTTCGATGTCTTACCTTTAAATAGGGAGTACGTTTTGTTTGAAAAATTTTTCGATTAAACTTAGAGTTTAAAAATAGTCTGTTACGAGATGAAGAATTTCCCCTTATTTTGAATTATAAACTTAAAAGTCAAGGTAAAAACGGTAATTGTACCTAATATTGCATTTTGTTTACAGTGGGTTTAAATAAGGGACGGTAACTAGTATTAATGTGAAATCAACACCAAAGGGGGTTAAAAGTTAATTATTTTTTTAAGAAACAACCGCCAACGTATTTAAATCCTTTCAGTTTGTATTACAATGAAAATTTATTAGTTTGTCTATTGTGTAATACGTGGAGAGTAATTTCGGAAATTAACAAACCAAACTTGTTCATTTTTGTTTGAATTTTATAAGACCAAACCAAACTTGAAGGCTCCTTCATTGTTCGAAAATTATAGCATAATTGAGATGGCTATAGCCTATTTTTTATATTTATTACTATAATATAGCTCTCTTTTTGCTGTTAAAAACAATTTTGCTTTCTTTCGAGCGTAATTGTCTATCTTTTATTCTCCGAATACTTGCTCTCTTTAACTGTCGTATGCTTGAACGGTCGACCGAGAAAAGCAGACAGTTCCATGTATTTGTTATAAATTGCAAATAAAGCTTTGTTTTGAATATTTCGTCGTGATATTTGTATGAAATAAACTTTTTTGAATTTGTATTACAAGGGTGGAGGCTGATTTGCGAAATTAACAAATTAACGTTCAAGCGTAATTTTTCTCTCCAAATACCTTCACCTTCGATAGTCCTAACAGAAATTGAAAATTAGTCTTGAAAATTAATGCATTTTTGTATGAACCATACTATTTTAACCTTGTAATACTAAGAGATGTGCTACTTTCTCCATTTAATATTATGTAATATTACGTCGGGCCTGATTTCCAAAACTAACAAATTAATGTTGAAAAGATTTTCATTATTTTAAACCAATACAATTGTCGTGGTGGTTGTGATTTAACTTCGGAAACTAACCACCCATAGTTGAAACCTCTTTTTCTGTTTTAAAGCTATTCAATGATCGAAGTAGTTATAGACCATTTTGATTTTTTTTAAATGAATTAGGCTCTTTTTGTCGATATGAAAAATCTAACACAAATCAAGCATAATTTGTCTCTTATATTCTTTGAATACATTTACCTTTTGATAGTCCTAACAGCAATTAAAAATTAGTCTTAAAAATTAATGCATTTTTGTATAAAATAAACTTTATTAACGTTATATTACCAGGAGATGTGTTAGTTTCTTTATTTAATAGTGTCTTGGGGCTGATTTCGGAAATTAACGAACCAAAGTTGAAAGCAGATTCATTGTTTTATAGCTTTACGATTATTGTAGTCGTTGTGCTCAACTTTTAATACTTTTTAAATACAAAAAGGATCTTTATGTCGTTAACATTAGTGTACCTAATTTCGAGCGTGATCGTCTGTCATTTACTATCCGAATACTTGCTCTCTTTAACACTCGTATGCAGAACGGCCGACTTAGAGAACAAAACAGTTCCCTGGATTTGCTATAAAGTACAAATAAAGCTTTGTTTTGAATATTAATGCGTGGTCATTGTATAAATTAAACTTTTGTGAATTTGAAGAATGCGGTAGTTTCTCTATTTAGTAGTACTTGGGGGCTGATGTCCGAAATTAACAATATACTGATGTATTTATACTTTTTATACTTTTGGGTATTACATTCACCTTTAACATCTTTCAAAATAATTGTTTAACAGGTCGAAATTTTATTTGTGCTTTTCTATGTTTAACATTTCTACGTACTTTTTTTTGAGTTTTAACAATGAAATATGATTTGCACTGCAATCAAAAACCGTATACAGGATGTTATTACCCACATTTTTATGCATTACATTCACCTTTAATACCATTCAAAATAATTATCGAACTGGTCGAAATTCTAGTTGCGCTTTTCTATGTTCAACATTTCTACGTATTTTTTGCGTTTTAACAATGAAATTTGCTTTAATTTGCACTGCAGTCAAAAACTGTTTTCAGGATGTTATTCTCTACGTTTTCATGTATTATATTAACCTTTAACATCTTTCAAAATAATTGCATAACATGTAGAAATTTTAGTTGCGCTTTTCTATGTTTAACATTTCTACGTACTTTTTTTTGAGTTTTAACAATGAAATATGCTTTAATTTGCACTGCAATCAAAAACCGTATACCGGATGTTATTACCCACATTTTTATGCATTACATTCACCTTTAATACCATTCAAAATAATTATCGAACTGGTCGAAATTCTAGTTGCGCTTTTCTATGTTCAACATTTCTACGTATTTTTTGCGTTTTAACAATGAAATTTGCTTTAATTTGCACTGCAGTCAAAAACTGTTTTCAGGATGTTATTCTCTACGTTTTCATGTATTATATTAACCTTTAACATCTTTCAAAATAATTGCATAACATGTAGAAATTTTAGTTGCGCTTTTCTATGTTTAACATTTCTACGTACTTTTTTTTGAGTTTTAACAATGAAATATGCTTTAATTTGCACTGCAATCAAAAACCGTATACCGGATGTTATTACCCACATTTTTATGCATTACATTCACCTTTAATACCATTCAAAATAATTATCGAACTGGTCGAAATTCTAGTTGCGCTTTTCTATGTTCAACATTTCTACGTATTTTTTGCGTTTTAACAATGAAATTTGCTTTAATTTGCACTGCAGTCAAAAACTGTTTTCAGGATGTTATTCTCTACGTTTTCATGTATTATATTAACCTTTAACATCTTTCAAAATAATTGCATAACATGTAGAAATTTTAGTTGCGCTTTTCTATGTTTAACATTTCTACGTACTTTTTTTTGAGTTTTAACAATGAAATATGCTTTAATTTGCACTGCAATCAAAAACCGTATACCGGATGTTATTACCCACATTTTTATGCATTACATTCACCTTTAATACCATTCAAAATAATTATCGAACTGGTCGAAATTCTAGTTGCGCTTTTCTATGTTCAACATTTCTACGTATTTTTTGCGTTTTAACAATGAAATTTGCTTTAATTTGCACTGCAGTCAAAAACTGTTTTCAGGATGTTATTCTCTACGTTTTCATGTATTATATTAACCTTTAACATCTTTCAAAATAATTGCATAACATGTAGAAATTTTAGTTGCGCTTTTCTATGTTTAACATTTCTACGTACTTTTTTTTGAGTTTTAACAATGAAATATGCTTTAATTTGCACTGCAATCAAAAACCGTATACCGGATGTTATTACCCACATTTTTATGCATTACATTCACCTTTAATACCATTCAAAATAATTATCGAACTGGTCGAAATTCTAGTTGCGCTTTTCTATGTTCAACATTTCTACGTATTTTTTGCGTTTTAACAATGAAATTTGCTTTAATTTGCACTGCAGTCAAAAACTGTTTTCAGGATGTTATTCTCTACGTTTTCATGTATTATATTAACCTTTAACATCTTTCAAAATAATTGCATAACATGTAGAAATTTTAGTTGCGCTTTTCTATGTTTAACATTTCTACGTACTTTTTTTTGAGTTTTAACAATGAAATATGCTTTAATTTGCACTGCAATCAAAAACCGTATACCGGATGTTATTACCCACATTTTTATGCATTACATTCACCTTTAATACCATTTANTAAGTTTTCAAATTCGAAATTTTGTACGACTATTTGAACAAAATAATAATCATCACTTTTTAATATAAAACAAAATTGTTTTAATCATGTTTTCATTAATTTAAGTATTTTTTAGGAGGGTATACTAAAAAAGTCAGTAAAATAAGTATTTGCAAACATTTTTCAAAAAAATATTCTACAATTTTCTTATAATTTACATTTGTTACCTATCCAACATAAATTTTGTTTAATATTTCGTATAGCAGGCCTGAATAAATGTTTTTTAGTCAAACCTTTTCACCGCCATTTGTTTCCGTTTAGTTAATACATATAGCTCGCTCTTAGCAGCCACGCTTAGGTATATTATACGGTCTCTTAAGTAAGTTGTTCCACTCAGATGAACTGCTGATGGCGCCTAGGTGGTTCATTGTATGAGGTTGGGGCTTCGGAAAGAGCGGCTGGATAGCTAGCTTATATAATTTACCGCGACTCCGTATTTATCCTTCTCCCTCAGTGNGAAAAGGTAAATGAAAAAATACATAAGGTAGGTAAAGAATAAAAGAAAGACAACTTCTGAATATGATAAAAACGAAAGACAATTTCTGAAAAACATAAAAAGTAAACAAATGTTAATTACATTTTATTGGTGTGCCTCCTGCCTTGACTGAGCCGACATGGACTTCTTTAGTGTAGTCCTTGATATCCTAGTGGTTCTGATGCCTTCCACTGATCGCGATGATTCTACTTTCTGGCTTAGAGGTCCATCACTGAATGACTAGTCCTATTAACCAAAAAAGATATGAATACATCTGAATTAAATTAGATACTGATTAGTATAAGAAATAAGACTTAATGTAAAACAAAAGGATTTATTATATGTTATATATTATAATATTTAACTAAAGTAAATTTAAATAAAAAGAAAAAATGCAAATAAATGTAAAATAAAATGTTACCTATCCATCATGAAAGTGTAGATTTTAATTTTTTTATGGTAAGAATTACAATCTTTTAATAACCAAAAATATGCTTTTACGAACGCTTTAATAATTTCAGATTTTTAAGAATGCATAGTCAAAAATGAAATTTTACATGACGAAGTAACACATGTAAACAAATATTATGAAAATAGAACAATTTGCGTATTCCCTACTATGACGATTGGTTATAAGTATGTAACTTGCTTTTAAAAAATTTCTTTATACAATAATTATGAAAATAAATACCAAAACTTCCTTTCTATTCATCTAGACTTTACCTAAGGACTAAAAGCTGATATCATTGATGCAAACCTATTTTTCTCAATTAATAAATGTTTCCACTTACCAATTAGTTGCTGTGAATCCTTTCTTTAGTAATAGACAGCAGATTCTTCTGCATCCATTCGGGAAAAAGCATTTTTATGTTTCTTTTAGACGCTGATATGTTGTGGAGTGAAACAGGACTGTCACGATCCATACCCCATGGCATACAGTGTTCAGAGTTCCTGTAAAATAAATTATTACATTATTAACAATGCAACAAATTAATTAACTAATAATTCTAATATTAGAAATGCTGGAGGTCATAAAAGTTTTTATTGCAGAAGAACAAAGATTTGGAAAACACTGTAAGGGTTCAGGTATGTAAAAAAGTGCGTAGAATCTAACGGTGCAATCAGTTTTCAAGTACGGTGTCAAAAATGTAATTTCCGGCACTAGTAAACGAGAAAATAAGGAAAATTATACGAGCAACAAAAAGCGCTCGTTGAATTTCTTGGAAATTAGAAGGATTTGGAAAACACTGAAAGGGTTCAGTTATGTAGAAAAGTGCGTAGAATGTAACGGTGCAATCAGTTTTCAAGTGTGGTGTCAAAAAAGTAATTTCCGGCACTGCTAAACGCGAAAATAAGGAAAATTATAAGAGCAACAAAAAGCGCTCGTTGAATTTCTTGGAAATTAGAAGGATATGGAAAACACTGAAAGGTTTCAGGTATGTAGAAAAGTGCGTAGAATCTAATGGTGCAGTTAGTTTTCAAGTGCTATGTCGAGAAAGTACTTTCCGGCAATGCTAAACGCAAAAATAAGGAAAATTATAAGAACAAAAAAAGCGCTTGATCAATTTCTTGGAAATTAAAAGGACTTGGAAAACACTGAAAGGGTTCAGGTATGTATAAAAGTGCGTAGAATGTAACGGTGCAATCAGTTTTCAAGTGTGGTGTCAAAAAAGTAATTTCCGGCATTGCTAAACGCGAAAATAAGGAAAATTATAAGAGCAAAAAAAGCGCTCGTTGAATTTTTTGGAAATTAGGAGGATTTGGAAAACACTGTAAGGGTTCGGGTATGTAAAAAAGAGCGTAGAATCTAATGGTGCAGTTAGTTTTCAAGTGCTATGTCGAGAAAGTACTTTCCGGCAATGCTAAACGCAAAAACAAGGAAAATTATAAGAGCAACAAAAAGCGCTCGTTGAATTTCTTGGAAATTAGAAGGATTTGGAAAACACTGAAAGGGTTCACGTATGTAGAAAAGTGCGTAAAATCTAATGGTGCAGTCAGTTTTCAAGTGCTGTGTCGAGAAAGTACTTTCCGGCAATGCTAAACGCAAAAATAAGGAAAATTATAAGAGCAAGAAAAAGCGCTTGTTTAATTTCTTGGAAATTAGAAGGACTTGGAAAACACTGAAAGGGTTCAGGTATGTAGAAAAGTGCGTGGAATCTAATGGTACAATCAGTTTTCAAGTGCGGCGTCAAAGGAGTACTCTCCGGCACTGTTAAACGCGTAAATTAGGAAAATTTTAGGAGCGAATAAAAGCCCTCGTTGATTTTCTTGTAGATAAAGATTTGCTAAACTTTCAAAGGGTGTAGGTATGTAAAACGATGCGTAGAATCTAATGGTGCAATCAGTTTTCCAGTGCGGCTTAAAAAAATTACCTTGCGGCACTTCTGAACGCGATAATAATAGTAATTATACTGAAAGGGTTAGACATTGAAATTTATTTAAAAATATATGAAGAATCACGCAGTGACCTGAGTTTTTAAATCCTATTTGTAAAGAATAAAATTTAATTGATACAAAATCTAAACATATAATTGCGCATTTCTATTTTCGACCTGTTAAACAATTATATTGAAGTTTAGTTAAAAATATATGAAGAATTACGTAGTGATAATATTTGTTGATTATATTTTGAATGAAAGAAAATTTAATTTATATAATGGGATAATTAGGGAAAACTTCTAAACATAAATACGCGCACGTGAATTTGTTTTCTGGTAAACAGTTTTTCTGAAACTTCCGATTGGTGAAATATGGGTGACAATACGTAGGGAATCTCGTTGTGTTAACAGTTTTCGGTTACATCTTGTAATAAAGAAGGTAAAACTATTGAATGAGACCACGTAGTATTTGAATAAAGCATAACTGAAACACCATTTTCTCTGTGTATAATTTATTTTACTACTTAATTTATAAATTAAATGCAAAGGTAGCACAGCACTTACCCTCATTGCGTCTGCTTCTAGTGGATAGAAGACACTTCAACATTCAGGAATCACACATAAGGACTGCCAATCAAATCTCCACAGCACAAGGTGTCCAGAATTGGCCTATTTTCCTGTTGGAATATTGGTTATATTAGTTTTAATTAAATAGGACATATTTAAATATCCCTAATTAATTTAACACCAATATTAAATAATGAGGTAATATTAATAATAGAATTTTTAAAAAGCAATACTATTAGCCACATAAGATCTTATTGCAGCTAAGTATATATATGATAATTATTAGACGGGATAATCCTTCAATATTGCGAAAAATTTTAACCATTTACTTAAAAATGAAGTTTGAAGTAGAATACTGTTTGCCTTAAAAACGAAGGTAACCGTGCAAGAACCTAACAATAGAAATTTTGCAACAGTGGAAATTGTATCGTTTTTAAACAAAAAGGTTATTGTAACGCCACATCAGCTATTAATCGTAAATTAGAAATCTAATTAAAAGTGCCAAGTTAAAAATATCCCACCTTACTTCTTGGAAGAAGCCAACTGTGTCATTAACTGCATGTTAAACCCACAAAAGACTGCACAGGATTCATGTATGCACGTTTTAAACAGGATAATAACTTAATTTTACCGTGCCTGCTATACCGCAAACAAACGCTTACTAATCTAAGCACAAACTTGACAAAACCCGAGCAAGGACGCTTTTTTATCTCTAGTGTCACATCGCGATATCGCCCATATGAAGCAAAATTGTATTATTAAACAGTTAACAACGATCTTTTAAAAATAATATTTTGTATTATTAATATTTAAGTACATTATAAAACCGAATAATATAAACACAAAAATTTAGTAATTAATAGAAAATAATACATTATTCAATACTTACAACAAATTAAATATAAATTAAAAGAAATAGTGACCGACGTACAGGATTTCGAAGATAGCTTTAATAAATAAGTTACAGGGTCGAACTCGATTAAAAAACACAGGAAAAAGTTAAACAAAAACGCGCTCGTACGATTTCAAACACAAAATGGTTTAATAATTTTGTTAAAACCAATGATACATAGGTAAAATAAACTGTAGAAAATAATGGTGTAAACAGAATTTCGAAGATAGCTTTAATAAATAAGTTACAGGGTCGAACTCGATTAAAAAACACAGGAAAGTGCTAAACAAAAAAGCGCACGTAAGATTTCAATCACAAAATGGTCTAATAATTTTGTTAAAACCAATGATACATAGGTAAAACAAACTGTAGAAAATAATGATGTAAACAGAATTTCGAAGATAGCTTTAATAAATAAGTTACAGGGTCGAACTCGATTAAAAAACACAGGAAAGTGCTAAACAAAGAAGCGCACGTAAGATTTCAATCACAAAATGGTTTAATAATTTTGTTAAAACCAATGATACATAGGTAAAACAAACTGTAGAAACTAATGGTGTAAACAGAATTTCGAAGATAGTTTAAATAAATAAGTTACAGGGTCGAACTCGATTAAAAAACACAGGAAAGAGTTAAACAAAAAAGCGCACGTAAAATTTCAATCACAAAATGGTTTAATAATTTTGTTAAAACCAATGATACATAGGTAAAATAAACTGTAGAAAATAATGGTGTAAACAGAATTTGGAAGATAGCTTTAATAAATAAGTTACAGGGTCGAACTCGATTAAAAAACACAGGAAAGAGTTAAACATAAACGCGCACGTAAGATTTCAGTCACAAAATGGTTTAATAATATTGTTAAAACCAATGATATATAGGTAAAACAAACTGTAGAAAATAATGGTGTAAACAGAATTTCGAATATAGCTTTAATAAATAAGTTACAGGGTCGAACTCGATTGAAAAACATAGGAAAGTGCTAAACAAAAAAGCGCTCGTATGATTTGAACCATTAAACATCAAATTAATTTTGTTAAAACCATTGCTATGTATGTTAAACAAACCGTACAAAATAATGGTGCAATTAGAATTCTAAGAACGTAAACAAATAAGTTACAGGGTCGTACTCGATGAAAGAACGCAGATGTGTTGAAAGAAAACGCGCACGTATAATTTCGATTACAAAACGATTTAATAATCCTATTAAAATAAAAGAAATATATGAATAACATGTCGTTGAAAATGATGGTGTAAACAAAATTCCAAAGTGAGCTGAAACTAAAATGTTACAGGGTCCTCAATTAAATAACGCAGGAAAAGTGTTGAACGAAAGCGTACCTACATACGATTTCAATCACAAATTGATTGAATAAATTTATTAAAATCGAACAAATATATGTAGAATAGTTGAGACTAATAGTTTAAAACTTTATAAATACTAAACAATTCGGAATCAAAGTGTTTTGATTCATGTTCTTCTAGACAACAAATAATTAAGTATTTAGGTAATTTGCACTAGGATAATTTCTGAAATGTACATATAAATCAATAAAGTTGATACATTGTTTCTTAATTTGTAGTACAAAAACAATTTTTATGTACAATTAGAACCACGACATTTCCCCTAATTCATTTTTAATCAGTAAAAAAGGAAGAAATCCTCCATCTGTGTTATATCACCGCAATTATTCATAACCACTTCCTCTTCTTGTTGTTATTAACCTCAAAACTATGAAAATCAATAGTTTGTAAATAATAGCCTAATATAAAAGAAAATATCTAAATAAAAAGTGTTTGCAAAATGAGTGGTTTTACTAATGCTGAAGCAGCTTCTTCAGGATTTGACAATGGCTTAACTTTGGAATTTGGTCCATTGGAAACAGTTCATCGATGGAGAAGAATGCCTGAATGTGATGAATTTGTTGGAGCAAGGTAAGGCAATGCCAAAAAACGCATTCTATGCAAAATTACCCTTTTTGTTCTACTTATAGACGAAGCAAACACACTGTGGTAGCTTACAAAGAAGCAATATATGTGTTCGGAGGAGATAATGGCAAAAGTATGCTTAATGATTTGTTGAGGTTTGATGTGAAAGAAATGTCATGGGGAAGAGCCTTTGCTACTGGTAACCCTCCTGCACCGAGATACCACCACTCTGCTGTCGTTCACAACTCATCAATGTTTGTTTTTGGGGGTTACACTGGAGATATACATTCCAATTCAAATTTGACCAACAAAAATGATCTCTTTGAATATAAATTTAATTCTGGGCAATGGGTTGAATGGAGATTTGTGGGGATAATCCCAGTGCCCAGGTCTGCACATGGAGCAGCTGTTTTTGATAATAAACTGTGGGTATTTGCTGGCTATGATGGGAACGCTAGACTTAATGATATGTGGACAATTTCTCTTGATGTAAGATTTATATAATTCTTCTTCTTAAGCTTCATAGTGCTAAATTTCTTCATAGGGCGACAGTCGTACATGGGAAGAAGTAGACCAGAAAGGAGAATGTCCTCCAACTTGCTGCAACTTTCCTGTAGCAGTAGCTCGAGACAGTATGTTCGTTTTCAGTGGACAAAGTGGGGCAAAAATAACAAACTCGTTGTTCCAATTTAATTTCAAATCTAAAACGTATGTTGTATGTTTAAAGTTGTCATTCCCACTTTAATTTTTTTTATTTTAATAGATGGACACGTATATCTACTGAGCATATTTTAAGAGGAGCTCCGCCACCACCTGCTCGACGTTATGGACACACAATGGTGGCTTACGACCGTCATTTGTACGTTTTTGGTGGGGCGGCAGACAGCACCGTGTCCAACGATTTGCACTGTTTTGATCTAGACACCCAAACATGGTCCATCATTCTGCCAACTGTGGATTCTAACGTACCCACTGGTCGTCTTTTCCACGCTGCTGCTGTAGTTGGTGATGCCATGTTTATTTTCGGGGGCACAGTTGACAATAACGTCCGTAGTGGAGAAATGTACCGTTTTCAATTCTCTAATTATCCAAAATGTACTTTACATGATGATTTTGGTAAAATCCTCGAACTGAAGCAGTTTTGTGATGTCCGCTTCACTGTGGGACATGAAGAAAAACAGATTCTTGCACATTTAGCTTTAGTTGCGGCCAGATCGAAGTATTTAAGGAATAAGATAAGGCAAGCAAAAGAGACAAAACAGCAAGATTCTCCAACAAGCGACCCTTTGGAAGTCAAACTTCCAGATGCGAGTCCTGAAGCGTTTGAAATGGTATTAAATTATATTTATATGGACTGTATTGATCCTACAAAGAAGGCAAAGCAAGGCGAAGATCTCTTTAGTAATCGAATTGTGCTTTTAATGATGGACGTGTATAGACTTGCAGTTAAATTTGATATGCTTCGACTTGAACACCTTTGCATTCAATATTTGGGAGCTACTATATGCTTGAAGAACGTCCTGGAAGCCCTTCACAACGCTGACATTTTGGCTTTGGACTTTATCAAGGAATTTTGCTTGAGGTTTATCGTGAAAGATCCAAATTATAACGCGATTGTGATGAGCAAAGAGTTTGAATCGTTAGACAGAGGACTGATGGTTGAAATAATACGACGAAGACAAATGCCACAACCTAAAGTACAAATCGACACAAATTTCGACATGGCAGGCTCGTCTCTTGAGCAGGATATGGCGATGTTTTTACGTCTTACAGGGTTGGAATTTTGTGATATCGATTTAGTACTTGATGGCAATGCTATTCCTGCTCATAAAACAATATTAGCTGCCAGGTGCAGCTATTTTGAAGCAATGTTCAGATCATTTATGCCTCCTGACAATAAAGTAAAGGTTTGTATTTATTTTTAAATTAGCAATAATTCACGTTTGGGTCTACATTTGACCCTCGAGCAGTTTTGACTTAGTAAAACATTTTAATGTTCAACTGTTTAAAAAAATTTAATGGTTTTTAATTGTTACGTGTATCTTTTAGATTCAGATAGGAGAAATGACTCCTTCAAGGACCTCATTTGACTCTCTACTTCGTTATATTTATTATGGGGACATAAACATGCCACCTGAGGACTCATTGTACCTGTTTTCAGCCCCTTACTTTTACGGTTTCACAAATAGCAGATTGCAGACGTTTTGCAAACAAAACTTAGAAATGAACGTAACAGTGGATAATGTGATACAAATTTTGGAAGCAGCAGATCGTATGCAAGCAACTGATATGAAGAAATATGCCCTGGACTTAATCGTTCATCATTTTATTAAAGTCGCAAGACTTCCCCGTTTGAAACAGTTGAGTAAGGAGCTGATTTTGGATATTTTAATGGCCTTGGCTAACGACATGAGTGCTCCAAAGACTTGCCAAGACTTATCTACTATAAGTCTGAACAGCGACTCATAACTAATGTTTTTGTTAATATTTGTATATAAGTTTGTTCTTACATCTTATTTGTTAAATGTTAACCATTAAGTATTATTAGTATGCTTTCTAAAGACTTTATTGTATAAATGTTTTTATGTATTCAAGAGTATTGTGTATTTAATCAAAATTAATTATTAAGAAATTCTATTATATTTATAATTGTGATAAGTAGAAATTGTTGTTTGTGATAATAATATAAACAATATTACATCAAATTATACTAGTTTAATTTACTAATGGACTATATTTTTTTTTCTGTTAACCAATATTTAATAGCATTAACATAATCACCATAAATTCTAATATATGCAGCAAATTCATTAACTTGAGAACGGAGTGGTTTTGGAGTTTCCTTTTGTAGAAAATCTCTAAGTTCCTGCTCTAAAGCCCAAATATCACCTTTAATGTTTTTAATTATTGTCACTTTTCTTATTCCATGCTGTCCTATTTTCAAGTAAACAGGAATCATGTGATTTTTAGTCCTCTGTATAAAATACTTTTCTTTCAAACATTCGTTTAACTGAGGCCTCCACTCTGAAAGATATGTCTCTTTAGGAACTGGTTCAGGGACCGTAAGGGGTGGTAATAATCTTTCAACATATTTCCACTCTTCAGGAGATTTTGAAACGCTATATTTTACTTTTACTTTACCAATTTCCGACAGTAAAGGGGAGCTATAGTAAGTACTTTGCCTCTTTTGGACTAACTAAAACAATGTCTCATTAAACTCTACGCAGACTCAAAAGAAAATATAATACTTACAGATAAAAAATTAGTTGTTAGTTTGCTTATTTGTTGGAGATTTTGGTAATATGAAGCCATTATTAAGTTACATTTAAACAATTTACAAAGAAGAGCAAACAAGAAGAAAGTAAGGTTACGTTTCCATTCTTCTAGTTCTTCTCCTTACGATTGTCCTTCGATTAAATATTACCATTTAGCCGATGTAAAAAAAAAGTTCCTTAACACAACGCTAACTGAGATCAATTAGCAATATACGTCAAAACTAAACTTTACCAAAATTTTCATTAAAATAATACAGTAAAATTATAAAATAAACCCATCTACAAGAGTTTATACAGTATATACGCAAAAATGTGTTCCAAATTTAACAATGGCAATCAAAGCAGTTTGAATACAAAGCTAGTGCAAGAAAATCAGAAATTGAAAGAAGAACTAAAATGCGTCAGAGACGAACTCCAGGCATGCATGACAAAAGACTTAGAAGAAGGTGATTCCGCTGAAAGCTGTGCTTCCCTAAAAGATGGTGAAAAAAGAACACAAATGTATTATTTGGAAGAAATAAGCATACTAAGCCTTCAGTTGAGAGAAACATTCGAAACAATGTCTAAAATAGAAAATGTTAACAACCAATTGAACAAAGAATTAATGAAGGTACGATGTCAATATAAAAAATTACAGGACGATTTAAAAACTCAAAGGGCATTAGACGAATTTACGTTTATGCAAGTTGAAAGGGCACTAAAAGACAAACAAGCAGGTCTTTTTAACAAATGTCAGTGCCAAAAGGATGGTACTGGGGAAGAACAGCCTGAGGAAGCGAAGTCTGAAGAAGCGGAACCTGATGAAGCGCAACCTGAAAATGAAGCACCAGAGGAAGAAGTCTAGGAGGATAACGAAGAATAAGTAAAACAGTAAAAAAGGCAGAATTTCTTACATATGTAAAAATAAAGGTTTATATTTATATTTGAAAATGTGATTTTAATCATTACGACACCAAAATGTAATGAGTAGGATGCGATACACTCGGTACATTTTTAAAAGAGCGACACTAAATAATAAAAAGTCGTGTTTAGCGTGTCTAACAAGCAAGGTGGGATTTCGTAAGTTGGAAACCACAGAAGGTCTAAGTCAAAAAGGATCATTATAGTAGTAGACATGTGAAACTACACAAAGAAACAAATTCCAGACCAATGTACCGTGAACGAAATTAAAATTTATCGCCCTGAAATTAAATTAATGTCCACAGAATTTCCATTGAGCAATTACATCAGTTTCTGGTAAAATTTAATTTAATGGTAATTAAACAAAATGGACCTGATGATAATGCTTAGCAAACCGTCACAATTCCTTTCTTTTTTTTATTCTTGTTGTTCCTTTGTTTTAATAATACATTACACATTTCCGAATTGTTCAAAAAACAAAAAGATAATGAAAAGTTTATTTTAATTATTATTGGATACATACATACATACATACAGTCTCATTATAGTTATTTAAACTATTTAAACATATACATCAGAAACTATAATGGTAACACGTCACGTAATAGAAGCTTTAGGGCGACATTTTGATTTCTTGTCCGCAAGTTTCATCTTTAAATTATCAATTCTTTCCTTTACCATTTCTATGCCGATTCCGATCCAGTGAAGGTCCCCCTTTAGTTTTTGAAAAGAGTCTTTTCCATTTTCGAGGCAGCAATCATATGTAGAAGTAAAATAGTGATTTCCGGTTTTTCCAGTTTGTAAATATTCCCTTAGTAAAAAATCTTCTGCTTTCTGGGCCAGCAAAATCACCTCATTCTGAATTTCAGAATTTGAAAAACAAACACTTTTTTCTATGCTGTTGTCCATTTTCTTTATCGATGGTTAAATTCACACACTGGGTTAACTAATTTTGGATTTTTGAACAATAAGACAATAACCACGACGAATTATTGCATTCAATTTAGATGGGGTGTGTTTTCTTACCTACNTAATAGAGTTCATACTTGAGCAGTTTCAGCATTTCTATACCTAACCAGTTAAATCGTTTTACAAAATACTTACAACTAAACATTAATTCAAATAAAAAATGTAATTTTTTATAAGAGGTTGCTTTTCTGTTTCTAAAAGGGAAGTACTTTTGTGGAGGAAGGCAGTTACAAGAAGGGTCACAGTACCCACGGGGGTCATCACGTTCATAAACTAAACGAATTCAATAAGAAAGTTGAATTCTGGGACGAAGATCATGATGAAGCATTCAAAGAGAAGCACGGAGGCTACGAAAACTCCCATGGACACAAGGCCGGTGGAAAATTCAAAAAGGGTCACTCAGACGCAGGTCACCACGAAGAAGGTTTCGGAAAACACGGCGGCAAAGAAGCAGGAAGTCATTACAACGAAGATGCCGGACGCAAACATGTTGGAGGTCTCGAAGAACATTTCGAACATGGAGAGAATTACGGAAAGAAAGATGAAGGAGCTGAACAAAAGAAATGGCTTATAGGGAATACTCCACATAAGGGAATTATTTGATGACGTTATCATATGAAGAAATCAATGAGGTAACAGTTGAAGCTAAAAGATAAGCGAAACCCACAAGTTGACTTTAGCTGATACGTCCACATTTGCGATTCTTATTGTGATTAAAAATGTTCATTCTCTGTTATTTATTGCATACGCTATATTTTATACTTCGTCTCGTATTTTGTATAATTTAATTTAAAATTAATAAAAAACGAACATTATTTTTACATACACAATTTGTTTTGTATTTTATTTAATGGATTACGAAAAGAAAAAATATTTCTTGAAAAATTTCATCAACAAAGTTTTGATAAATTTAGCTAAACTAATGGAATAAATATCTTTAAGGGATGTTTCCTAAATGAGTCACCTTGAACACAATTTTTCTTGAATATTGTCGAAATTGTTGGATCAGGTTGAAATAGATTAAACTGGTTCATCTTATTAATCGTTCGATAAACCAGTTTAACCTACACAAAACAAGCTTCTAATGGAATCAACTAGAATTAGGATAAACTGGTTTATATTATTATCCTTCCGATAAATTAATTTGGCTTACACATAACTAATTTATTTTGAAGTCAGATTAAAGTAGGACATTTTGGTTGATCTTATTACTCCTTGGATAAACTAATTTGCCTCAGACAAAACGAGCTTATTCTAGAAACAGGTAGAACTAGGAAAACAAACAAGATTGACTTGTGACTTGAAAAAACTAATTTATTCTGAAATCAGGTTGGATTAGGACAAATGGGTTTATCATATTACTATTTGGTTAATCTTTTTTGATCCAGACAAAACGAGTTTATTCCGGAAGCAAGCAGGATTGAAACAAGCTGTTCTTTCTTATTACTCTACAGATAAACTAATTTGGCCTAATTTAGGACTGGAAAGAACTTACTGCTCTTGAAATAATCTAGTTTAACTTGCCTAGGCAAAACCAATATATTCTGAAATAAGGTTGGACTAGGACGAGTTAGTTGTTGTTGCTATTCTTCGGATAAACTAGTTTAGTCCAGACAAAACAAGCTTATTCTGAAAGGAGATAGGACTAACACGAACCGGTTTATCTTTTTACTCTTCGGATAAACTAGTTTCGCTTATGCAAAACTAATATATTCCGAAATAAAGTTGAACTAAGACAAATTGGTTGTTCTTATTACTCTTCGAATAAACTAGTTTGGTTCAGACAAAACGAGCTTATTCTGAAAGAGATAGGACTAGGACGAACTGGTTTATTTTATTACTCTTGGAATAAACTAGTTACCCTTAGGTAAAACTAATTTAATCTGAAATCAGTTTGGACTAGGACAAATCGGTTTATCGTATTACTCTTTAGTTAAACTTTTTTGACCCAGGCAAAACGGGCTTATTCAGGATATTTTAAAATAAGGTTGAACTAGGAATAAGTAGTTGTTTTTTGTTACTCTTCGGATAAGCTAGTTTGGTCCAGACAATACGAGCTTATTATGAAAGGAGATTGGACGAAGGCGAACTGGTTTATCTTTTTACTCTTGGAATAAACTAGTTATCCTCAGGCAAAACTAATTTAATCTGAAATCAGGTTGGACTAGGACAAATCATTTTATCGTATTACTGCTTGGTTAAACTTATTTGATCCTGGCAAAACGGGCTTATTCAGGATATTTTAAAATAAGGTTGAACAAGGAATAAGTAGTTGTTTTTGTTACTCTTCGGATATACTAGTTTGGTCCAGACATAACGAGCTTATTCTGAAAGCAGGTAGAATTAGGACATAGTTATTTATCTTATTACACTGCGGATAAACTAGTTCAGTTTTGGCAAAACTACTATAATTTATTCTGAAAGCAAGTTGGTTTAGGACAATTTGGTTAATCTTATTATATTTTGGATACACTAGTTTTCCATACTGATAACCTACAGTAAATTGGAGTATTGAGTGTCGGTGTACTGCCAGTTAAAGTTAAATAACTCATAAAAGATACTGATATATGATAATTTATGGTAATGGCTGTGTAGTAATATCCTACAGATTAGAAAACATTAAAATTTTTCTGAAATAGTATTGAAAAATAACGAATTTAAATTTCGCAATCTAGTTCATGTGCAAAATAAGAAGGATAAAAGCAAAAAAATAAAGTAAACATCAACTTATCAACAAAATGTTTTGTAAATAAATAAATTTCTCAACCTTGCCTCGTGTTCTAATATGCTACACATCATATTAATTAGCGTTTAGATTTTTGGAAGGATTTGTTCAATTTATAATAACTGCCACATTCAACATTTTTGGATAAGTATCTACAAGATGTCTTGTTTATGTGTTATTAACAGCTTTGTAAACTGTCTCGATGACTTTCGGTTCCAAGTAAACCGTGGAACGAGTCACAAGATTACCATTTTCCAAGGAGTTGTAACTGCAGCAGTTGACAATAAATTTAATGTCTCACTAAAATTGTGTTACGTGGAGAACCATAAAAAGGAAATGCGTAATAATTACGAAGGTTGTTTTGCAGCGAAAAAAAATGAAACATCGCTGAAAAAAAGAATATGACGATCGTATATGCTTACATAAGCCATTAAGGCAAAAATCGTGAAACAATTCACGTAGGTAAGTACGTACTGGAAATGAAAAAATTACGTGTATTATGTTATAGTTTCGCAGAAATTAGAATTA